ATGATAATCAGAAGGTTCAGTTACACTTTGATTTAAAGTTCATCAAAGTTAGTAAATGTGTTACTAAAAAAATAAGCAAATTAAACTGATATTTTGTAATAACCTACCTTACAATATTTCCAGGATTTAATAAAGGCTCATAATGATAAGGGCTCATAATGAGCCACCTACTTTTGCTGATTGTGTAAGTCCTGAGTCTTCTGCTAGTTTATTATACCTTGGAACATAATGAATAGTAAGTCAAAAGGCTCTTATTTCCCTCTGCTACATGAAAAGTTGACCCCGACTTCTTGGCTTTTCAAGCATTTGTCAAAAACTTGGTAATAGTAAATGATGTTGCAGAGAGAACTGTTAAGGCAGTTCATGAGAACCAAGAGAAGAAACTCCAGAAAATACTTTTTGTGAAGAGTAAAGTTGACAAACCCCTTTCCATAACTAAAGCTGCTTACAAGAAGACTGCTAAGCAACTGACTCCAACAGAAAAGCTTAGTCTTATATACGAGGAAAAAGCTTTGAGGAAACAGAAATTTTTCTTTTCAGCAACAGTGAACTTGACAGCAGTATTGATATTGAAGGAGAGAATGATTTTTGAGGTTCTGTGGGCAGAGAATGAGGCTCTAAACAATGCTGAAACCTAAAATGTTTTTTTATTGAATATATATATTTTTTAAAAATTCATATTATGCTGAAAGTACACGGAAGGACAAAGGAAGAATATAAAATCCCTCCCCTTTCTGGATAAATAAAAATGGGAATGTCTCTAGCCTCCCCCCTCCCTCCAAACACTTAAAAGTTTGTGAATTTTCCTAAGCATTTAAGATTTCATTATTAAATTTCAGTAAGTACGTTATTTCTACAAGGGAGAATTATTACTAAATGGAGGGATCCAGCACCCCTTGGGAGGTTGGGGGGCTCTATGCCAAAAGATACAGAAACGTATATTTCAAATAGGACATTTATATGTTTAAGGAGCTTGCACACAAAGTTTTAGGTTGCTGTGACTGTTGTATCATGTTGCGCCAAAATCTGTATTGGCTTTAGTGATTTTAGTGACTGTAATAGTGACTGAAGTGACTATTAGTGACTGTAAATGGCTTTAGTGATTGATTGATTGACCTCTGTTTTCTCGCATAACTTAAAAAAAGTAGTTTGGCAAATAAAGCAATAGAGCTAGGAACTTGATTTTTTGATACTTGCGCGAGATGAAAAAATTATTTAAAAAAAAAAATAAAATTATATCCTAAAATCACTTTGAATTTCCTAAATTTTCAGCTTGCATACATATCAAAAAGATAAAATTGTTGAAAAATGAACACCACTAGTATGTATGTATGTATGTATGTATGTATGTATGTATGTATGTATGTATGTATGTATGTATGTATGTATGTATGTATGTATGTATGTATGTATGTATGTATGTATGTATGTATGTATGTATGTATGTATGTATGTATGTATGTATGTATGTATGTATGTATGTATGTATGTATGTATGTATGTATGTATGTATGTATGTATGTATGTATGTATGTATGTATGTATGTATGTATGTATGTATGTATGTATGTATGTATGTATGTATGTATGTATGTATGTATGTATGTATGTATGTATGTATGTATGTACGTATGTATGTATGTGCGTATATATGTGTGTATGTATGCATATATGTATAGTAAATTATAAAAGTGAGTGTTTTATACTATAAAATAATGTTATACTTAAGTAAAGAAAAAAAATCATTGTAAAGTATAAAATAAAGTACTTGCTCCAGAAAAAAAGCATCCATGGTTCAAAACCCACCTCTGGGCAAGTTTTGCGATATCGGTTTGGAAGAAGGCATGAACTTCCGATCAAATGCTAATCGTGGTGCTCTGTGATAAGACTGTAAGGACTTCTTGGGCATCTAAATAAATTAAAATTTTTTTTTAAACTCTGTTGAAATGGTGGAGCTTCATAATGTTATCTATTTTCGCTTTTTTATACAGAAACTTTATTTTGAGGATAGATTTTTTGTTTTGGTAAACACAATTTGATCTACCAAGAGTTTTTAAATTGAATGTACGCTTAACACATGAATAAATCCTGTTTGGTAAGTGCAGTGATTGTAAACAGAGATGAAAAATTGAACGTTTTTGTCCTGATGTTACATCGAAAAAAAATTTTTAATATAAAAAACAGACCACCGATATTTAAAATTTAACACATCGTTTTTAGTTTTTAACATTAAAATCAACAACTTCACCATGAGAAGACCGTTTAATAAGATTGCAAATCTGATCAACAGATAAAAATCTGTCTAAATAAAATATTTAAAATATAATATAAAACAAATTTCAATAAAATTTAACTTTCTCTGTCACAAAGGAGGTATGAGTGGCCTCTAACCGGATAATGGATAAAACTCTTCAATCTTTTAAAACATGTGCATTTAATGCCAACAATAATTGAGTCAGAGCATGATTTTTGTTCTGCAACAGTTGTCTGAGTACAAGTGAAGCTTAGTATATCCATTAAGTAATTATTTTACAGGCCAAATTGTCCAACTACATGAGGCACATCATATGTTCCTTTGCAAGTTACACCTTGGTGTTAACATAAAGATGTGTTTTGTTGAAATAACTTACCACTTCAAGTTGGTTTTCTTCATGAATTTTTCTGACATAATTTTGCAGGTGAAAGAGCAAAAAGGCAAATTTTGCATAATGGGACAGAAGTGAGTAAAATCCCTTAAAGCCAACTTCTATATTGGGATAATTTTTTTTATAAATGTAATCTAGAGACCCTCAAAACTCTAAAATAGATACAACTTTTCCCTACTATGATTGTTAAGCTCAGTATATCAGTTTTCTACATAAACTAATATTTTGCCTTCCAAATATTGGTCAAAATAAAAATATCATACGAGAAAAAGAATTTCTTAATACTTTCCATTACACAATCAGAAAAAAACTAGGACACACTAGGCCGCACATGCAATCAAACTTAAATTACACTCTTATATTTATAAAACTTTAAAATCAAATTTTTGCCAAGCTTAACTTGAACCAACGTTGATGCTAGGCTTTTTTGTATAAATGCTATCAAATCAAACATTTTGCCTTAAAAAATGAAGAAGACGCGTAAAGAAACATTTTAGACTTTTAATCGCCTAAATTTTGTTAAAAGATATTTAATAGCACCGTAAGATATAAAATAGCATCTCTAATAATTTTGGCTCAACAACTGAACTGGTGTGCTACTTTGATGTTGAAGCTTTTGCCCTTCTTCTAAACTGAGGGCTAGTAGATAAGTTAGGCATAGTTTTTTAGTTGTGTTAAAATAAAAACATGCATACAAAAAAAAAATATTACACAGCTAACTAAGCCCTGAGATTTTTATACATTTTTTTCTGCTTGATTTTATAACCATAATGGATTAAAAAGAAACGTTTTAACTTTTTTTTCGTTAAATTATAATAAATACCAAAAAACATTGGCTGAATCAAACCAAAGTACGTAGATTGAGTCAAATCAAAGTTATATTTCTGAAAAATAGATGCAAAATTAACTGGGAGAAAAAAATGTTTATTCTAAAATTTTAGATTTGATAGAAAATTATTGAAAAAAAATAAAAATAATAATTATTAAATTAAATATATATTGAAATGCTACTATTTTCCTTAAATTCTAGTTTTGTTGTAGACATAAGCTTTAGGGTGCAGAAAAAAATATACATATTTCCATTTGTTTTTTTAAATAATTCTTAACGATTCTTTTATATTCAGCCTTTCAAATTTGGATTGCCAGATTATTAGAAACGGTGCGATGAGGAAGGGCAGCTAGCTGTACCTCGCCTACAACCAATAACCTTGTTGTTTTTATTTCAAGAAAACTACAAATAAAAAAATATAGTTTATGATTGTAAATAAACAACACATGAATTCACCGTTGGTGCGTTTTCAATACAGCTAAATGCTGTTTGTCTGTTGCCAATATCGAATAAATTTGCAGCAGAGAATTATGCTAGAATAAACACAGTCATTGACTCGTCTCAGTTTAGCATAAATATTGCTCACTACTACTTTTTATGCATATCGAGCGTCAGATTGATCTCCTTTTTAGCTTGAAATTATAAACTCTTATAAACTCACACAACATGATACCAAAACACTACTTATTTCGACTTTATAGATTTTGTGACTGATTTGGCTTAGCCGTGAACAGATCATGTCTTGTACACCAAAAAAGCTAATTTTATCAATATTTCACAAATTTTATGGACCTGCTTTGTTGAATTCACTTTGAAGTGCGTTGAAATACTTTGCTACTATTAGTGTTGTGCAAGTGTTAAATACTTCAAGTATCATATAATATAGACAACCAAATAGGTTGCTTGCAAACTTTGTAAATATTGCATCACAAAACATTATACTATTTTTGTGAATATGATTCTGCTTAGTTTTTTACATAATAAAAATTCATATTTACTTTTGATCTAAAAACGGATTTAGGGATGATCTGTGCAGATAGAGCAGACTGTCATAATTTTAAATCACTTTTCCCCCACTTCTATTTACCTAAGAAATGGAAGCTAACTTGTAACATTTTTTGGAAAAAATGGCTTCAAAAAAGTCTATTTCAATAAAATATTTTGTATTTTTTTAAACAGTGTTTTTGATGACTCAGCCAATAGTTTTGATAGCTCAGTCAGCGTTTTTAATGTTCGAGGTAAAATTTATTTTTCTCTATAAAATTTATCCTTCTCCTATATAATTTGAACAGAAAAAACGTTAAAATGCCAAAATAAAACCTTCAAAACTATATGAAGATATTTGATGAAATTTAAGATACATCAACATGTTTTTAGAGTTAAAATTAATTAAGGAAAAAAAAGAAAAGAATTTTTAAACAATAATGTCAAAACCTTTATACATTTCTTTGGCTACTCCTGAATTTTTTCAATTCCTTTATTTCTTTTTTTAAATCGTTAATCTCAGAAATAATAACTTCATTAATCTTTTTTATATCTTTTAAGTGAGATAATGATAGTGTTATAGTCATACTGTTACTTTGAAGAACGTGCTCCATGTTGACATAAGGGTGTCGAATATCTGAAAATGACCTTGCAGCTAGTATGAGCTTTATAATTGTAATAAAATTGTAGACCAACTTATACTCTACTTGAATATCTGACGACCAGTCATTATAATCCGGGTTTTTTTGAAAAATATCTACCAGTTCTTCAAATCCATTTAGGTCTTTAGAATTTCTTTTTAGCCCAAATAATCTATCACTTATGTCTTCTTCAGTATACTTTATTTTGGATTTTGGGAGTAAGTTCATAAAATTACTTGCGAAATTCTTTTGGTAATTCGTTTTTGCTTTTTCTTTGGCTGCAACACTTTTCATAACGAAGTAACTCCATGTAGCTTTTAGTTTTGAGTTTCTTACAGCATAACATCTCCAGGCACATTGGATTAGAAGTGCAGCTGGATTCTTGACCTTGAAGGTACCTTTTTCTTTCTTTTGCTTAGAAACTTGCAAAGCAAATCCGGATCCTAAAATACCAGCAGGTAAAGCTAGAAAAGCACACCCTACCATAGCTAAAAATCCGGCAATCATTTTCCCGTACCATGTATGAGGAGTGTAATCTCCATACCCTATTGTTGTAAATGTTATGATTCCCCAGTATAAGCTGGTTAACATATTGTTCATCTTTCCATTTAAATTTTCATTATTGCTTTCTGTAAGAAAAATAACATAAGACCCTAGCAAGAGAATCACAGCGCAAAAAAAGTAGCACGTTAAAAGCTCTTTTCTGTGACTATAAATAGCATTCCACATAGTGTGTAAATCCCTTCTTGTTCTATCCATTCTCAAAAGCCGGAGTATATGAAAAAATCTTGCGTACCGAAGAAATTCCACATTTGATCTGGTGTCACACAAAAAAACAGTAAAAGCAGATGTAACTATAACAACAAGATCAATTATCATATAAAAATTTTTCAGATATAATAGTTTTCCATGTAGTTTTCGGTACTTGACATTAGAACTGCAAACATATATTCGAATAAAGAACTCTACACTAAAGATGATTAAAAGAACAAGCTCGTAAACAAACAACGTATATTGAATGTCAAAACTTAATTCCAAATCGGTTTTGGTAGACACAATTGTAAGAGCCAGATTTCCAACTATTAAAAGGAGGATGACAACATGGTAAATGTAAGATAACTTTGTTTTCGGTTTATCGAGAAAGTTATACACAAGCAACTTTATCTTGTGACAATATTTATTTCCTGAAAAAGTTGACATACTTATCCACATTTATTAACTTATTTGTTAATTTATTTTCATGTTTCAGAAACTATCAATGTGTTTTAATTAAACCATAACTAAAACAATACTCGTATATTTCCAAAGATTTTTATTAAGGTATACACAAGTAAACTTTGTTTCAATGAGTAATTAAAACCGCATTATTAAAAACGTTTTCAAATTGTTTAATGCGTAAGAAAATGCGTATTCGTAAAAAATAATGACTGTTTCCTTCAGACAACAGGAAACTTTAAACTCTGATTTTACTTGGAATTGGTGTAGAAAAAACTATAACTAAAGCAAAAGTAGCGAGGGGCTAATTTACGCAGTTCTAACTACTCTAAAACTGCGTGAACTACTTGTTTTGCCTTAAGGGGTGGTGAAGACAAGATAAACTTATGGTTTGAATCGAATTGTGTAATTGCAATAAAAAAACAATGATAACTCTCTGTTAAAGTTTTTTTGCAATGCATCAATTTATATTTACTAATTTTATTAATAAAAAAAAAAAAAAAAATTTAAATTACATCCAGTGTGCACCTAACGTTAAAATTGACGTTAACAAACAAAACAACAAAATAATGACATAGAACTTATGACGTCGGATGCCAACTAAGAGTATTTAAGAGGCAACCAATAAGTTTGCAGATTGTTTTTATAATTGTTGCTGGATTTTTTAATACATCTTTTATTTTTAATTAAAGAGATTGGATCGAGTTGTTGGACAAAACATTTTATGTTGAAAGTATGCCTAGTACATTTATAATGTTATATCAAAACTATTTTCTATATAAAAATAAATACTTTTCTTAGAAAATGCTATTATTGAGTTATTTTTTATCGAAACCATTTTCTCGTTTTCTAAGGTTTGTTCCGATGTGTTTAACATAACGAAAAAAACCTTATTGTAACTGCTTTATTGTAGTTTTTCATTCCAACATGTTGTAAGAAAAGTAATAAATTAACCAATTTATATTTTGGTTAACATCTGACCATATTGTCTACAAAAATAAAAATTACCTAAACAAAATATTTTATTCTTTAAAAAAAGTAAAAATTTATTGTTTAATCTTTTTGAACATTTTTTTTTTTAAGACTGTGCGTTTTGAAACTTTAAAATAAGTTCTGTCTTCAGTTAACTATTGTAAAGTGTACTCAGAGACGAGTCTAGGAATAAAATAGGGAGGGGGGAAGGGGTCAACGTATTCATAAAAAGTAACAACTGTTTTCTAAAAAAAAAAAAAATTTTAAAATCACTCGATTCACTTGAAAGTCGCCTTATTAGGGAGTGGGGGATATTATGAGAGATATAACACTCCACACACACACACACACACACACACACACACACACACACACACACACACACACACACACACACACACACACTTTGGTTTAATTGACAACTGTCCTTTTTTCTATCTATACCATATTTTTCCGCTGTCTTCCAAGAGATAGTTTATTAGTTTATTGGTCATTGAGTGCAGCATTTAATGCATTTGAAGTGGAATTTTCCTTTTTGTGTTTTTTGTATAATTTTGTGTGATTTTCAGCAAATAAAATAACTAAAGTTTAAAGTAGTTAAATCTGTATTATTAATTTTATGAATAACTATTAAAGTTTACAACAACTCAAGACTTGAACATAAATAAACTTAATAGTAAATAATCATCAAAATGGTCATTATCAAACCTAAAAAAATTTGTTAAAAACATTTTGTGTGCAAAATATATTGATTATAAATGTAATTTTGGGGTAAAACATCTTTATGAATTTTTTCCTGTGGGCATTAAACGTTTTAAAAATGTGTTTAGTAAGCGCAAAAATGTGCCCAAGTTTAAAAAAGTATTGAATAATTTTTAAAACAATGATTACAGAATGTTTGTTGGACGTCTTACAGACGTCCTACGGACTTTTGACGTCTACAAAACGTCATAGAGACGTCTTATAGTCGTCTGTACCCGCTGGAAAATCAAGGTTAAGTTTATGTAACATGAGTATGAGTTTAGCAGCCGTGGCTGGTGGTAGCCGTGGTAATGGTTTGAATGCATGCTCTAGAAGCAAGAGATCCAGGGTTCAAAGCGAGCTTTGGCCATGTTTCACCATCGGTAAGGAAGAAGGTGTGAAGTTCCTAGTTAAATGCTCTTTCGCGGCGCTCTGTGACAAAACCGTTTGGCCTTCTTGGAGCAGCTAAAACAAAATATTGAAATACTTGGTGCATTTGCAATAAGCTTAACATATTAAAGTGAATACAAAAAAAATAAGAGAACTGATAAAAAAAAACTTACAATAGCAAAACAATTCAAAACAATTACTGCACAGAAATGAAAACCAAAAGTCTAAATCATAGTCATAAAAACATAAGGTGTGAGCAATGTTTAAAGCATCTTTGAAAATATATATTTCTTCAGAGAAAATTTTTACTTATATCATATTACCTCAAATAAAATACTGATAAAATTAAATGGAATTTAAAATATTGATAAAATTGTGTTAAAAACACTTTTATCAAGACAACATTGAAAATTGCAGTCAACAAATAAAAAAGAGTTTTATTTTTGAGACAACAGATGTTTGAATATTGCAAACTCTCAAATGCTGAAGTGACTAAATATTTCATAAACCGGAAGAAAACCGGTGTTAAAAGTAAAATCGGATTGCGTTTGCCAAAATACATGGTTGTAAGTAACTGGATTATTACATGGTTGTAAGTAACTGGATTATTACATGGTTGTAAGTAACTGGATTATTACATGGTTGTAAGTAACTGGATTATTACATGGTTGTAAGTAACTGGATTATTACATGGTTGTAAGTAACTGGAAAGATAACTTATAAAGGAAGTAGAACTAAAAGCTTCACTGTTAAAAATTTTTCCGTAGATTCAACGAAATAAATCCGGCAACAAAGAGACTGTGCCTTCTCCGTTAAAACTTACCGCTCCGTTGCTTCTGTTTTACGTACGAATTAACGGAGAAAGTCAGGCAGCAAAGAAATAGCACTTTCTCCTTAAAATATACGGTTTCCATTCACCAAAAAATACCAAGCAGTAACAAAGCTATTTAAGGGGGTCAGGATTACATTCATTTTGATTTGCTTCTGACCTTAAATCTGTTGGTTGTATTTTTCTTCTTGGAAAGGTTAGTTTTTTAAAAAGGTCAACCGAGTTAATATTGTCTGTAATTTGTTTTTCCGGACATTTCTTTTTTTTATTGTTTTGATATTTTAAGTTGCAACCAGTTTCAACATATTTTCGATGCCTCTATCTTTAAGATATTGATCATTTACTGTCTCAGCGACATCTGGTCAATATTTAGCTTGTTTTTGCAATCTCATTAGCTCCCGGGTCTGACGTACTTTGCTCATCGTTTTTTTAATTGCTTTTCGTTTTTCTGGATTCATCTTAGCAATACATATTCATGAAAACTAGATTTGGATAATATTATTAATAAATAATTGTTTATACTAATAAATAAATAGGGGTAACTTAACTTAATTCTTAGCTTAGAATATTATAAATCATTTTTTGCATGTTTCCAATTAAGATAAGAAAATTATAAGTATTGAAATAGCAATAACTTTTGGTTTATATATACCTTAAAAATATTGTCTTAAATTTAAATTGATTCTCAATATAAAAAAATTATTAAAATGTAATCTGATTTTTCAAGGTTTTATTTAAATTCACTATAGATATTCAAACCGACATTTTAAATTATTTGTAACTAAAGTTATGTTTACGAATTAAATTTTGTAACTACAGTAAAATAAACAAATATAAACAGCTTACTAAAAAGTAACAACTTACTATTAAGTAACAACATACTAATAAGTAACAACTTATTAGAAAGTTGTTAGTCAGAGATTGATGGTTTTGCAGTGAAGATTGGAGTTTTTCAGGGTTCTGTGCTCAGTCCTTTGCATTTTATTATTGTCTCTCTAAAGAGTTCTTATCTAGCTATTATATAATGATGATTTGTGGTTGACTGCAGAAACAATAAAAATTACAGAGCTTTTAATACGAATAGTTTAATGTTGGAAAAATGAAATTGAGTAAAAGGGCTTAAAATAAGCATAAGTAAAAAGTTATGATTTTTAAAGTAAAGAACGCGCAAGCAGAAAAGATATGCAATTAGTAGGAGATTCTCTATAAGGCGTGAAATATGTGATCGCAAATTGTGATATGTGGAAATGCTTCTGGTCTTTACATTTTTACCATAACTCATAGAACTCAATAGTTGTTATTACAATTAAATACTGAATATATTTAATAAAAAATCTTTTTTTTGCATTGATCTTAAAGTTAAAATTAGAACTTCTATTTTGAAAAAAAAGTATATGCTTTTCTTAAATACATCGTACGTTTATGATCCTTTAGTTTTAATAGTGATAAAGCAGGGTCTTCAAGTAAAATGGTCACATCATTACCACTATTATTGCTTTTATCATGTCTTTCGTTGTTTTTATTATTTTTTACCGAATGATTTTAATTGTATTTAAAATCATTTAACAGCAACTCGCCAGCAACCAATCTTTAACATTATAGCGGCTCCAACTATTTATGATACACCCCCTATTATGATACATATATATTCAAAAAGAACTGATTATCAATAGGATGGTTTTTTATTTTTTAATCTTTTTGTTAATTATACCTTTTAACCGTTTGATCATTTTCTTAATTCATTTGACCCCATTTTACTCTATAATATTTAAATTTATGGTAAAGAAAAAGTCAATTTCTTGTAATAAACAACTACCTGAGTCTAACCAAAATTGATAAAAGTTATTTATAAGATAACTTTCTATTCCGAAAACGTTTTTGCAGTTTTATGTCTATGGGCATTTTTTTATGAAAGATATTTGCATTTAGGCAAGAAACGGCAATACTTTTTTCGGTGTATTATATAACTTTGCTAACCCACTGACATGGAGAAAACTCAAAACTTATGTTTGTTCTTATGTACAAAAATTGCAATCATTTGATCCTGGATACAAAAAAGGTCTGAAATTTTTCCCCACCCCATTCCAAACATAAGAGTAAGTTTTAGATGAGAGCAGTAAAAAATACTTTTACTGTTTTCAACTAAAGTAATTCAAATAACTATACTTATCAATAAATTTCCAATTTCGTACGTAATCTCAAATTGAACATAAAAAGCTTGAAACATAAGTGTAAACATAAAAACGCTATATGTATATGTATATATATATATATATATATATATATATATATATATATATATATATATATATATATATATATATATATATATATATATATATATATATATATATATATATATTATATATATATACATATAGCCCAAAAAGTTTTAAGGTTTTAGTTTTATTTATATAAAAAAAAAGGTTTTAGTTTTATTATATATATTTGTATATATATTATATATTTGTATATATAATATATGACAAATATATATAATAAAACTAAAACCTTTTTTTGCATCAATATAGTTAGGAATTCTTCAATGCAACAATAGTTTTCTATAGCAACAAAAAGGTGATTAAATAGTGCAAGTGCAGAAATAAATAACAACAAAATAAATAAACTTTTAAAAGTTACCTTATATCAAACTTGTTGTAAAATACTTATTAATGTAATAATACGTGGAAACTTTAATATTTTACCCCCCTTTTTATGCATATTACGCACACGAAAAGGTGTTAGATTTAGCAATGTTAATATTTATTTAGAAAAGCTAAAATTTATATGTACATATGAGTAAGAGTATATAGGTGGATTCACCCATATACTCTAGCTCGTTTTATTAGACATTTTTTAAATTACTTGCAATGACACAAAATATAAGATTGTAACTTCTTATTCAAATTAGTACACTTAATTTCAAAATTAATTTAAAGTATTAAAAATATATATATTAGTTCTTTAAAGTTTTACCTAAAACTTTAAAGAACTAATATATATATTTGCGGTATAATTTATATATAGAACTAATATATATAGATGCGGTAGTGGTGTAGTGGTAGAGCGCTCGCTTCATAAACGAGTGGTTCTGAGCTCAATCCCCACCACGTCCCTGGTAGTACCGCGCTCAACTCGTTTCTCCGCGCAGCGGCCTTGTTCGTCAAGATGCGTGTTTCGGAGTTATAGAGTTTAGAGAGGGTTATAGCCACAAATAAGTAGCCTCCTCGTCTGTAGTGGCCTTCTCGGCCTTGAGGAGGTGAATTAAAATAAAAAAAAAAAATATATATATATATTTAATAATTGTTAAAACATTATAATGAGTATTAAAAACTAATAATAAGTATTATTATAAATAAATACTCATTAAAACATTAGTTTTTTAAGTTAAATTTTAACTTGTAGATTTAGTTATAATTTGAAAGAGAAATCCATTTACAACTAAAACCTAAATACTGTATGGGTGCAAATTTACAATCTGGAACCGTAGTTTGTAAACCTTCATATGGTTAAAGTAAATCTTATTAGGAGGTTTAATTTCCAAAGTATTTAGTGTTTTTTGGGGCACAAGCAAATTTTTTTTAATTAAAATTTTTTTTTTAATAAATTAATTTTCTTTTCTTTTTTTTTTACAGTCTTGCACATTCATGCATAACATTTTTGAATAAAGCCTAACACATAAATATATAAGGTTTATGGACTTGTAGGTTAATAAAAAAAAAACAGTTAACAAAAAGTTGTTGTGGTAAATAATTGAAATTTTTAAACAAAATAACCTTATTTTGAGGCCTTCGTATTCATTCAGGCCATTTCACCTTCTTTTTAATATTCTCATCTGTTTTAAATATTTTACTATGTTAAAAAAATTTATAGAGTGCTTGTGTTAAACTTGTACCAGAGGGAATTGAAGGTAGCTGAAGGTAATAAAGTCGAGATAATTGGAACTAATTGAAAAACGATGAAAAGTTCTTAATGATTTTATCAAAATTCATTTTGTTGACAACTCTTTTTTTATCGTTATATTGTAACGTGATAAACATTTTATTTTTATATTGTTATTTAATTAAAAGTAAATTTTTTAATTTAAAACTTGTTTGGGAAGGAGAAGACTGGACCTCACAATTGACATCCTTAGTTGCGGCGACTTTACATCTAAAAAATTTTTAAAAGTTTTTAAATGCAATAAACATATGTAAACTAATTAAAAACTTAAAAAATAAGTAAAAAAAATTAATTTTTATTACAACTATTTTGGTACTATAATTTATTAGAGTAAAGGGCCGTAGGAAGAAAAACTATATTGGGGGGAGGGGGGAATAGTTAGCCCTGTTGCCCGCCCGGTTGCTACGGGCCTGCAGTATTTGAATAAGTTCTATAAGTTAACAGGCTAGATCAAAAAACATTACTGTTTATACTTCGTTACCAGACTACATAAGCAAAATTCTTTGCTTGTGACAAGAACCTCGTATCACTACGGTTGACAAATTTAAAACCAAAAATTATATTATTTTTATTTCATTATTTTTCGAATGTCATTTTTATTGATTTTTGTGTTGAAAAATATTGTTTTTTTACTTAAAATATTTTTCTGTTAAAAAAGTACTGAAAATAAAATTTTTGCTTTTCGCACATCCATGCGAAAATTCCTAACTTATTTATAAAAAGATTTGATATCCATGGAAACCAAATAAATTGAAATTATCTTTGCAAAAGTGCAATTTTGAAAAATGGTATCAAAAAAAGTTGTCGTACTTCTAATAACCATATGGAAACTTGGCGTAAATGCAGAAGAATGTCCTTGTATAGTTTAAATAACTTTGAAACATTAACTTTTGGATGCTAAAAATTTTTTAATATAAATTCGTTTATAAAAACACACAAATAGACAGACAGGCATACACATGCACATACACATACACACTCACTCACACACACACATACATACTCACTCACTCACTCACACACACACACACACACACACACACACACACACACACACACACACACACACACACACACACACGGACTAACTTGATAATATATAAGATTTTAAATTTTAGATTCAATTTATGATTGCAAGATCCAACCTCTTAATCCGGAAACAAAAATTTCAAGTTTATGTTTACAAGCACGAAAAAACGCGACTTCACAATCTCGTGAATGGTACAAGTTAAAAGAAACAAAAAATCCAACCGATTTAAATGAAGAAGAAGAACTTATATTACCTCAGTTAAACCAATCATATCAAAATGTAGCATTAAAAACAATGTTTGATGACATTGAGTCAAGATGGTTTAGTATTTACTATGGCTATTTACAAGCTCTTAATAAAACGGCTCTGTCGCTTGTTGGCGGGAAATACTATACAAAACCGGCGTTAACATACAGCGATTATAAAGAAATTTATGAAATTTTTTTAAAAACTATTCAAGTAAGTAAAAACGATTCAAGTAAATAAAACTAGCGGTGAGTTGCAAAATGGATTATTATGTCAAATTATAATTAAAAAAATAAAAGATGAAAAAATATGAATGAAAAAGATGAAATTTATTTACTACTAAATACTTAGTAATATTAAATAGTAAATAAAGTCAATAATACACAGCAAAATTGGGTATCTTGTTCAGAAATGTTTTTCTAAAAACAAGAAATATATTTCTTGTTTTAATAAATAAATTTTCCACCTCGCAAATTATTTCTCTAACAAATGTACAAGAATATATACAATAAATATTTCTTGTTTTAAGAAATAAATTGCTCAACTACACTCAATAGATTTACGATTATACTGTGAATCTTAAAACAAGAAAAATATTTCTTGTTTTAAGATTCTTGTTTCCTATCCCACAATTTATTAATTAAAACAAGAAATATATTTTTAGTTTTAAAAAATAAATTTCTTAAACTATGGACAATGCATTTAGGATTTTGCTGTGTAAATATCAGTAAATAATGTACACCATACATTATGAAAAGCAGATGATGTGATGGGTTTTTTGAAAATAATACTATTTTTTACGCAATAATATTTAGTTAAAAAGAAAGGTAAACATTGGTGCGGGCAAACGTCAATCTTTTTTGACTTTTCTGTTAAAACAAGTTCCTTTTTTTTTAAAAAAAAATCAAATTTTTTTTCTCAAAAGATTGTCTTTGTTGCAGGCTATTCCAAATTCAAAGCATTTTTCTTTACCTCACTTATTGACGGGATTCAAAGACATTATTGCGGATGACTCTTGGAAATCGAATCGGGTTTTCATTCAAAGACGTTTGGCGGGAACTTGTCCATTTTTTATAAGAAAAGTTACAGTATCAAAAGGTATTATTTTTTTCTTTTTTTAAATTTAAAAACAAGCCAACTTGAAAACAAAAGGGTGTTGATATCTAAATTTGTTGCTTCATATTGTTACTTAACAATTCTTACCTTTTTAATAGTATTTCAAGAATCTGGCATTGGCATTGATGAAAAATATTTATATGAAAAGCTTAACCAAAATTTTAACTGGAATAAACATATTTCGATTGTTCTTAGAAAACAAGTCTCATTATCACAAGTAAGCGTGTTTGCAAATAATGAACTTATAAATTACGCTATTCTGAAGTGGTACTGAATACTTTTATATACGTTTTAAAATCTTTTTTTTTTCTTATTACTTTTACATGATAAATTCAGATGATACTTGAAGGGAAGTTATTTGTACTTCACCATGAAATCTTCAACGATCTTCCAGATGTTCCAGATATTCTGGGAATTAATAAGTTTGCAAAACTTTTACCAAGTGTATCACCTATAGTTGTTATGGTGCTTGATGACAAGGTTAAAGAATTGAAGATGGTGGCAATTCAACTAGATCATGTTAACAGTAAATAGATTAAAACAGTATAAATACGAATGAATAAAAACCTATAACATACAAAAAAAAAATTGTTTTGAAAAAAAAAATTACATTTATGAAAAAATAAATAAATTAAAAGTATAAATATGTAAGCAATAAAGTAATAACTTTCTGATGATTTTATTTTTTATCCTTGTTATTTTAGACTCTAAAGTTGTCACTCCCTTTGATAGTAATTCCTGGTTGCAAGCAAAAGGTTTTGCTGATATAGCTGATATGGCAGTATGTCAACTTAAAGAGCATCTAGTAGAAACGCACAGTGTTCAAGAGCTTTTTTGCAATGTTTTTAAACGCCATTTAAGTCCGTGGCATCCAGTTCACCAAATAATGTTGCCTCATTGTGAAGCAACATCACCAGTGGGGGCTCTTGGTATATCTTCACTTATAGATGAAAATAAGTACATGCATAAATTGTTTAACATTGGTCATATTGGAGCCAGAAAATTAATAAATAAAGCTTATGAAGAGCAAGATTATTCAGATTCTGACTTTGAATATTTAATCAAGGTTATTTTTTTACATATAAAATATTTAATCAAAGTTATTTTTTTAAGTTTGTTTTTTAGTTAAAAAGCATTGGAGGAGCCTCAACCGAATAGAGTTTCTCGTGGTTTTAAGTCTCAACTAATTCAAACCCGATTTCTTTCTATCGACATATTGAGCATTAAAATTGTTTTTAATGGGCAAGAAAAAAAGTTAAAAACAATGTTACTAACGATATGATACAAATATAATGAAATAAAATAATTTAATAAACTAAAAAATATATATTAGCACCAAAAAATAGCTTATTGAATAAAAATAATTCAAACTTTTAACCTTCAAATATAATATCTTTTTACAAATATTTCAAACAAAACGTTGTACCTTTAAGAGATACTCTGATGTTAGCAATAAATTTTTATTTAAAATGATAATTTATTATAACTAAGGCGTAATAGTTTTTTTAATTAAATTTGTAGACTGAAGCTCCTAATATTAAAAAAATTTCTATTCTTTTAAAAACAAAATTCAATCCGTTAACGCAGGATATCAGATTTTAATTTCGTAATGTTTTCGTAATTACATCTTAATTTTTATTTATTGTTAATTAATAAAATACCAACAAAAATAATAAATAAAATAATAACAACAACAATAACAATTAATTAATAGAAAAAAGGACTGGATGATTCTTCCAAAATTCCTTACTATCCATATAGAGACGATGGATTACTTATTTGGAATGAAATAAAAGACTTCACAACAAATTATATTGATATGTAAGTTTACATTTTTTTTATTTTTTAACTTAAAATAGTATTTTATATATATATATATATATATATATATATATATATATATATATATATATATATATATATATATATATATATATATATATATATATATATATATATATATATATATATATATATATATATATATATATATATATATATATATATATATATATGAGCCGTTTATTTAAAATTGGCATAAGTCACTTTCTTTTTTAACAGAGATTTTTTAACTAAAAACTTATCTTAAGTCATTTGATTAATGGTCGTCAATTAATTTAATGGTCCTGAAATTTATTTTTTTCAAGTCCAAATTTCTATATGATCCTATAATAGTTTCAAACTTTTTTTAAGATTTTACGACAAAGATAAACAGGTAAAGAATGACGAAGAGCTTCTTAATTTTGTAAACGAAGTTTCCTCGTTTGAGAAAAATGGAGGTAAGGTATGTAAACTTTTTGTTTGTTTAGTTAGTTTTTCTAATTTTTTTCTAAAAAAACAAAAAATGAAAGTTTATTTATTAGTATAAAGGATTTCCAAAAGCATTTACATCAAAAAAAGATTTATCCACCTTTCTCAACCGATTTATTTGGAATCCGGTTCAACATGCTGTAAACAGTTATCCATTACTTCCGTATAGCGGATACGTTCCAATATCGCCAACAAAACTCTACGAAAATCTTGAAGGTCAATCTGATTATTTATCAAGTCTTCCCAATGCCGCTGTAACAATAGTAAGTTTTATCATTTATATTTTTATTATTTTACAATAATATAAATTTTTGCTTTAAATATGTTTATGCTTATATCATAATTTTAACCATTAATAAAAAAGTATTTTAAACATATTTTAGACACAAGAAGTCCTGACATTCACTCTAGCATCTTTTCGATTAAACCAATTGTTTGACTACAGCAAAAAAATGTCTCATTCTGAATCTAGAAAGCTCATTAGAGAGAAATTTAAAAAGTTAAATACGTGCATACAACAAGAGCTGAGTGCACGAAATCGGGATAGATTTAAAAACGGGGATTTAACGTATCAGTACATGGAGCCCAGATTTATACCTAACAGCATCCATAGTTAACTTTTATTAGGAAAAATACATATAAGCAACATTTGTATGTGTATGCAACAATATTAAAAATATAGATACAATACAATTATTTATGTCTTATATTATTGTATAAAAAACTAGTTTCTTTCTTAAACTTTATTTTAATTAGAAAAATATTTTATGTTGAAAAGTTGATTCTTTGGTATAAGAATGTGGCGCAGACAAGGATTTTTCTGGATAGAAACATTGCTTTTTGTTTGATTAATGTTTAATTGTAATTTTAAAAGATCTAAAAAGCCGTTTGTTATAACAGAGTTCTCTAATTGAAACAGATTATACACACACCTGTTTTTGCAATACAAAGTTTATTAATTGTGTTTCGGGGGAATGTTTTTCGTGTTGTTCTTTTTGTAATATCAATAAGGTTAGCCATTATATTACTTTTTATTAAACATTTTCATTTATCAAAAACCCCCGTAAGATTTAACTGAATTAAAAGATAAATAGTTCTAATTAAATTATAGAACAAAGCGTGAAAAATGGTTCTTCTAGAACTTTTTATCGGTAGGTAGCTTATTGGCTCCATATTTTCAACATGTTTCATATTTATTCTATTTAAATTAGATAATTTTTAGAATCTTTAAAAATTTTAATTTATAGAATATTTTTTTTAAAACGTTTATAAATTTTCTAGTCTGTTGCGTAATTAGTAATGCTGCAAGCAGCTGTCCAGATCATATTAAATATGGTAAGCCTCCACCAACAACTTGTCAAAAACCAACTGATCCTTTAAAAAAACCTCCATCCAAACTTGAAGAATGGTTTACAGAAAAAGTATTTAACGATCTGTTTCCAAAAGCAAACTTGGGATGGGGGCCATCTGATTGTCGCCCATACAATTACAAAGCATTTGTCATTGCTGCCAGGTATTTTCCCAAGTTTGGAACAGAACACGTACTTACTGACCCAACTAAAAAACCACTTCTTACTAAGTACACTCCATTGGAAACTTACAAAAGAGACTTAGCCGCTTTTTTCTCACACGCTGTACAGGAAACAGGAGAAAATGATGCTAACTTATACAGAATTCTCCCAAAAGATAAAGCTCATGATTGTTTTTACAAAGGGGGATTTTTTAATTGGTTCGAAGGCGGTCCAAATTCACCTTTTGTTAAAAATGGAGGTTTGGATCCCAATGATGGAGAATTTTGTACTGCAGCTGCTCGCTACTGTGATGATGGATCCAATACAAAATGGTTTTATCCATGCAACCCTTCTCAATCTGGCAGTTGGTATCAAGTAGGTAGAACATAGTAAAAATAAATTATTATTTTACAAATTACAATTTCATTATAAAATATATAAAAGAAATACTTGAAAAATTCTATTTATAAATAAAAAACTTTAATAGTTGTTTATTGATTAAAAAAAGTAAGAAATGTAAAACTATGAAATGTATGAAAAAGTATGAAAATACAAAACTTTTATTCTCTCAGGGATGCTACTACGGTCGTGGAGCAATTCAAATCTCATACAACTACAATTATGGACTTTTTAACCGCTGGTTAAAACAGCAGGGAATAACACATCAAGGAAAACCAATTGATGTTCTTGCAAACCCAAATCTAATTATGACTAAAACTGATCCACCGCTCAGCATTATGGCTTCTCTGTGGTTTTACATGACCCCGCAAAGTCCGAAACCTTCAATGCATGATATTGTAATCGGAAACTGGGTATCAGCTGACGATGATTATAGAGGTAAAATACTTTGTTCACAGAATAACTCATGAAGCAATTTTGAGTCTGTACACAGTCTTAAAATTGCAAAGTGCAGTTTAAAACGAGAGGTAGTGACAAAGTGATAAACAAAAGGAAACGAGTGAAAAAGAAATTGAAAAAAAAGTTAAATAATAAAAAAAAAAAGCCAAAAAGGTTTAAAGTATATTAAAATATTTGACTTAAAAATTTTATATTAAATTTTCATTAAATTATATGTACGTTTAAATATGTTTTTAAATAATAAAGTAGTTGTTTTTTAAAATCTTTTTGATCGGTATTCTAATTGTTTGAAACAATTTTAAATTGTTTAGGAGGCGTTTTTGGCCCAACATCACTTGTTATTAATAATGAATGCGGAGATGAAGATGCTGCTGAACCAGGTGGTGCTGGAGAAAGTAGAAGAATCAAAGCGTTTCGATGGTTCACAAATTATTTTAAAGTTCCGTTTAACACCGGTAATTCAAAAACTCTTTCATGCAAACTATTCAATGGTGGTTCACGCAAATTTGCTTTTAAAGACGATAGATTTATTGCTAATTCTTGGGATGCAAACTGGAAAACATCTTGGGATCTATCAAAACCCTGTGAATGTGCTATGCAAAAGTATCAAGGATATATACCTGCTTATGACCCTAATATCATGCCTCATTTTAGCGCCGAAAATGCCCAAAACAAGGCTTGGTGCGAAGAACTATATCAGAAAGGTTGGGGAAACCAAGGTTGCGCAGCATATAAACCAAAGTTATAGTTTTTTTAATATAACATTTTTTCAATAAAAAAATTGAAATGAAAAGAAAGGAAATGGTTTTTTTGAAACTGATTTATACTATAATAAAACACCATTTTAAAAAAACATAAACAAAAACTATCCAGAATAGTTGCTATATATTACAGCAAATGATTAAAATTATTTTGTTAGCACCAGGGCTTGTTGGGTACAATAGACGAGGGCTTGGTAGCTACAGAAGACTCAGGCTTATTGGCTACAACAGGCCAGAGGTTGTTGGCTACAATAACCTCATTACCTTATTTACATAAAAATTCACACTGTTGTTTTTAACAATATATCAGGCATGTTCAAATTTATTTTAAAAAGTAAAATATAAGCTCATAGAGGAATGGTGTATTGGAAAAATTAATGAGAATAAGCTCATTCAGGAAAGGACCATGCTAAAACTAATTAAAATAAGTTCCTAGAGAAATGGTTTATTTATATATAGAATTAATAAAACGTAATAAGCTATAAGAAGAAGAGTCTCACTGTACTCTCTAATTTTAGAAAAAATACTTGTGTTAAACAAAACTTTACTGCAAAATAAAGTTTTATTTATTTCATATTCATTTTGTAATAATTCAAAATAAAATCAATTTTAAACAAAACTACCGTGTTATAATTTAAAACAAAGTCGTTTTATTTATTTAATATTCATTTTACCTGAAATAAAACGATTTTGTAATAATTTTAAATAAAGCCGTAATAAACAAAACCATTTCTTGTAATTACAAATACCAATAGCATACGCAAAAAAAAAAAACAGTTTTATAACAGTAGGACTTTTTTTTACTTAAAAAACATAAAGTAAAATAAAAAAAGTTAAAATGAAAATGAGCAACAAAAAAGCCAATTTTTCATGCAAAAAAAAAAATGTCTTATCTCAAATCTCAATCGAGTAAATTCCTAATTATAAATAAGTTTTAGTATTTTTGTTTTAAACTCTCTGCTTCTCTTGGGAGTTTCTAAAAACTGAAACTGAGTAATACAAAAACTGAAACTCAAACTGAGTAATACAAAATTTTCTGTGTACAGGCCCAGTAGCACCTTGAAAAAATAAAAAGCACAATATTAATCATTGGATAAGAATAATATAAAAAGTTTATTTAGATAATCTTCATACTTTTTACAACAATTGGTTGCATCACCATAAATTTAATTTTACTTTTTTTGTATGTGGCCAGTTATGTAAAACAAGGTTTATCAGATTTACAGCTATACTAAATACAGTTAATAAACCGAATGCCAGCACGCGGTGTTTTGACAGCACGTGGTGCTTTGACAGCACGTTGTGCTTTGACAGCACGTGGTGAAATCTTTAAAGATTCTTGAATGTTTAAGACGTTTTATCTCTCTATTAGTTCTAGATTTAGCAGTTTAAAAATACAATTTCAGTCGTATTTATAAAAAATTTACAAACCCACTTTGCTAAAACTCAAGTTCCATTTTGCTAAACTCAAGTTGTTCAATTGCGCAAAAAATGAAAATGACCAGTTTTTGCAAATCAATTGTTTTGATTTAGGTTTTAGGAGGTACACATAATCATATAAAAAATATGTACAAAATATTGTTAAACCTATTTTAATTTTAACTGTTTCACCTTGCTACCATCAGTAATTATCGCAACTTTTTGGTTGTTATCAATACTATTTGTTGCATTAACAATAATAATATTGTTGACATTTTGAAAATTAAAACTTAAAGGATACATTTGCAACACGTTGCAAATCTATCCTCTGAAGGATAGGTCTACAGTGATTCTACAGTTAAGCAGACTAAAATATCTATACTTTTTGGTATAAAAAGAAAGAAAGAAATGCATTTAAAAACAAAAGTAGAATGCATAGGTGAGTGACATATAAAAGTGGAATAATTATTTAAAATAATTAATTACAAATGTCGTAACGTGTATTGGTTTAAATTAGTAAATACAGTCAACTCTCGATATCTCGTACACTATGGGGACCGGGAAAAAAGTTCGAGATATAGATAGTTCGTGATGCCAAGAAAGGGGTTAAAGTAAGTAAAATCGTTTAACTTTCATAAGAAACAAGTTACTTTTCTGACAAAAACCATTAACAACAAAAAGTACAATTATTGGAAAAAATCTGTTATCTGATATTGCTTCAAATTATTATTTTAAGTATATTAATTAAAATTAATATACTTAAAATAATAAAATAATCTAAATCTAATATATTAACTTATTTTTTTTACCTGTAAAAAACAAGACGTTCGGGTTTGCTGATATCAGTTGAAACTTGCTAAGCTATTTATTTAATGATCTAATTTATTCCAAAGACTTTTTTAAAAGACACCATGTAATCCGCCATCTAGTTAAAGAAAAAACTTCTCTTTAAAATCATTAAAACTTTTGATAACTCCTTAGAACGTTTAAAAACTCCTTAGAAAGAGAGTAATATAAACGTGCCTTACTCGATTTTTTAGTTAATTATAAAATATAGAACTCAAGTTTTTTGAAAATAAAGCTACAAAAAATAGTTATATCTTAATTCAATTTTTTCATGAAAATATGTTTTGAATAAGTTTTGTGTGATTATGACTAAATAAAGATGTCTTAATTGGAATAGGTAATAGTACCCTCTACCTCCCCTAAAAGTACCAACGCTTTTAACCTACCAAGCCAACATTTTATGATATTTTTTTTAATTTAGTGTCTCCATACTTTTATAATTAACCTACTGCCCCCTTATCTCAAAAATGCTATTTGTAGACCCCCTCTTCCTCTCCGAGCGTACGGATTTTATGGACGATCCCTAACTTAATTTTTTTTTGCTGCTTCAGCAAACCCGAAAACAATATGCTTTTTTATAAATCTATGTTTGTTTTTTTTGTACTACTGAATATTGCATAATGCTATTTTCTTATTAAAATATGGCATTAAGAAAAAGTTAAAGAAATACGACATTGGGGAAAAGTTAAAGCAATATTTTAAAACCGGATTTAGTAGATCAGGATCGTGTATTTTTTTTTACTTTTCTTTACCGAAATTTTATTATTAACTTTCAAGGTTAAATTATAAGGACAAAATAAAAGTTATTGTTATCATAAATAAAAAGAGTCAAAAGTTATTATTAAATGATAAAAACGAAATATTTAAAAATAGGTTAGTAATTGTATTTTCTTAAAGTGTATTGGCAAGGTGTTTTTCATTGTACATAGAAACACTATTTTCATATGTTGAATTTCAAGCTAAAAAAATGTATAGTTATTCAACTATTTATTCAAGTAATGCAAACTCATACAAACACAAGCAATTTGATAAAAATTCTATATTTAATTTTTTCTAATGTTTAATTTATAAAGACTTGCTTTAAAAATAAAAAAATAAAAAAAATTAAATACTTCAATATATATCTACCCACAACATACTTATAAATAAATAGTAAAAAGTATGTTTTAAAGCATACAATATATACTTAACACTTCTAAACAAACCTTTTCAAGCAAAAAAAAAACAAACAAAAAAACGAAAAATAAACATTCATTTTAAATATTTACAAAGTTTGATACAATTTTTACAGATCTTTCGGAAATGTTGTTAACCACTAAAAGATTGGCAACAAGTTTTAAAACTCAGATATGACATACTCCTATAGTGGTGTCGGACTGTTTAACCAAGTTAAGAAAAGTTAAGTATGCAACTTGAGATTTATTAAGCTAAATATAAACCGAGAGTTTTCTGCTACAGGTTATGTGACTAAATGTTTTTTAGACCTAAAGTTAAAAGTTTTTAAATCTCTTTGAATGCTTAAGCAGTTCAGAAACTGAGTAACAGTTCCAGAACTGAGAAAAGCATTTTTTTTTTACATTTTCTATCCTTGCAACAGAAAGGTCATGAAAGTAAGCTGGTCTTCAATGCCATTTATAATTGTAAACAGAACATGTTGTTTTACATCTATATATTTTATATATTATTTCTATGTATTATTTACCAATTGACTTTTATATCTTGGAAAGTCGCAGCGTAAAAGTAAAAATGTTCTTAAAAATCAGGTTGAATAAAAAGTTGATATAAATTCTACTATTTTATGCAGTTTTTTTATTTTTTGTCTACTCTTTTGTCTACTCAGACAAAAAAACGTGCACCGTACAAATGCGCACTGTACACTCTGAAAATAAGGCAGCCATAACTTTATGGCTATCACTGTGGTAGAATACCACTTAAGGTACAAAATTCTTTATACACTCATTTGACACTATTATAGTTACTCATTTGACACTATTATGGCCCAGCTTATTACATAGCAGCCATTTAGTTACTATTTCTTTGTTAAAGAAATTGGACTATTTAGTTGATTAAAACAATTCACAGCATAAGTTCTATATGTCTAGTTTCAATTCGAGAATACATACAGCAGTTTTTATTTATAAAATACAGAAGTCTGGACACATGGTAATGCAGTGCTCTATAGCGACTGCATCTTCTGTATAGGCATATAGTAATGTAGTATATAACTAACTTCAACATTTTTATGCATCATGTCTCATTTGAAATAAATTGCGAGCAGCTGTGTTCAATAAATGCAAACAAAATTCATTATTGAAAAAAATACTAATTTACTATCCTATTGGGTAAAAACTAAACATGTTCAAAAAAATATGTTAACTGTTGGTACTTGAATAATAATATTTTCTCATATATAATACTTTGATGTAGTATTATATAAGTGAAATATATGTTTCAGCAATTTAATTATATTAATTTACCGTTAGTTTAAAAATGTTTATACAATATGAGCTTCCTAAATTGCTATTTTAAGTAAATAATTACAAAAAATAAAGAAAAAATATTCCAATTTATTTCTTTTCTTATAAAGAAAAATTCTCATAACTATATTACAAAGAATAAATAACTTTTTAATACATTTCTATAAATATAATATTATAAATATGATACAATCTAAAAGCCAAAAATGCCTAATTCTTCTTTTCTCAGTATATCTCTGTTTATTTATGTGTTTTTTTTTGTTGAAAATAAAAAAAATAAAATTTATTTTCAATGAAAGTATTTTTTATGATCGGTAAAGTTCGTACCAAAGTTTCTAAAAAGTAACTCTGGTCTTCTTTCGTAAAGAGGAAGGTCGGAAGAGCAGCTTTTACAAGCTAGCTCTGTGTTGTGATGAAAGGGAATATATGTTTGATGCAAATAATGGTGCCAAGGAAAATTTTGAAATTTATTTATATTATGTATATCTGTACTTTGAGGAATTAGTGGTTGATGCAACTTTCTTTGACGGCGGATTTTCGCTCTGCGATTTTGACACCAAATCTAAAATGAGTTTTTGAAAAAAAAAATTATACGTTAACTATATAAAAGATGGTTCAGACAATGCGTTGAGAAATGCGTTAATGAATAAGAAATTAAAATTAATGAATAAGAAGTATAAATTTTACTTGTATTCTAGTTTCGGAGACTTTCATTTTTTTTGCTAACATTTGTCTTGTATATGCATCTGGATAATTGATTTCATTAAAAAGCTTTTCGAGTTGTTCAACTTGCGTTGTAGAAAAACACTGTCTCGTTTTTTTACCTTGCTCATTTATGTCTTCCTCTTTAATAAAAATATATACTTTTGTAAATTATAAGAGTAAAAGATGTAAAATAGTTTAATATTATTAGATATTTTTTCTTATGTTTAATAAAAGTTCGTCCTATATATATATATATATATATATATATATATATATATATATATATATATATATATATATATATATATATATATATATATATATATATATATATATATATATATATATATATATATATATATATATATATATATATATATATATATATATATATTAGCAATTGATTATTGTATTGTGATATGAACAAAACATATAAAATGATAAATATTTTTTTACCATCATTATTTTTAGTTTCTTTGCGAGTGTCAGCTTCATCTAACCCAAGAATATCTTTTACAGAGAAAGTGCTTAGTTTTTTTCTTTTTGAGTCCATTATAGCGACTGAGGCTGTGTGCATTGTACATAAGATTCTACTTCAACTAAAGCGTTTTATTTAATGTCATTTCAATTTATACTGCTTAAAAACGTTCTAAATGGTAATTAGTAATTAATCAACTACTTGCCATTCAATTAATATTTCCGTCCGTCTAGCTCAGAACATGCTTCAAAAAGTCTTTGTGTATAGTGTCGTTTCTCCTTCGTGGATCTCCTGTGTAAAAAACTATTTTCTCTTTAAACTTCTAGTAAATATTACATTAACAAATACCATCTGCAATCTTTTTTACTTTATTATTATAGTATACCTGCTGGCCAAATGCACGGAAGTTTATTAGTTAATATTGAGTTTATTCGCTGAGTACTCGGCTTTTCTATTAGCTTTCAAATTATATAATTATTGTAACTAATTTCCGTTTCTTAAAAAAAAACCGTATTATGAACATCTCATGATAAGGAAACGGTATCATAGCGTGATTTAGATCTAAATGGAAATTTCGTTTGTATTTTTACAATAGAATGTAAATAGGAACAAAGTGACGACTTGTTTCTATATTGGTACCGGGGATTTTTTTATTTACGTCGATATTTGATGGCCGTTTTTCTATTAAATTTAAATACATGATTAAATACTTTGATACTTCGGGAAACCTAAACTTTTATAAATACAAAAACATATAACTATATCGTTATAGTTATTAAAACTGCCATTTCCTTATATTTTTTTGGTTAAATTTTGTCAATTTATTAATAACACTTTAAGCTTTGAAATTTGAAAAAAAAAATTATTCCTTAAGTTAATAGATATACAGATAAACAAATAAAATACAGAAAAGTAATTACTTTTAAAAAAAAAAAACAGTTATGTTTTTACTTATTTAAACCGGATGTCTAAAAGTCAAGCAGTGCTCTTTTTTTTTTTATAAAAAAAAATCTTACACATACACAAGTTTATATTATACACAAATTTTAAAAGTTTTGATGTTTTAATACCAAAATTTTTAAAACGGAGAACTCCAATAAATAGTACAAATTAAATATAAAACGACAAATTGCATCAAAGAACTTGATTAAAATTGACCTGGAATTAAACCATGTAAGTCTAAAATAAAAAACAAAACTTTTTTAATTGCAAATTTTTAACCAAAATTTATAAAAATGCTTAAACTATACAAATATATTAAAACATGCAAATATTAAACATATTAGAACGTAATTAATAATTACCTTAAACCAAAGTTATTTAATTTAACACTGAATAAAAATACTTAAGAAAAATATATTTTCAAACATACTTAAATTTTCCAATTAAAGCCTTTTTTTATCTGGACATTCTGTAAGACTTTGATAAAAATTTATAACTAACTCTTTTTTCTTATTATAGAAAATCTTATTATTCTATTCTTATTAGAGGCTACCAGGTCCAATTTACATATGAGATAAACAGGTTTGAATATTCTTAACAAAACAAAAAAAAAAGCAACAAAATAAAAACTTACATATAAAAAATTATAAATTTTTATATGTGTGTGTGTATATATATATATATATATATATATATATATATATATATATATATATATATATATATATATATATATATATATATATATATATATATATATATATTATATATATATACATATATATATATATATATATATATATATATATATATATATATATATATATATATATATAGTTTTGAATTTAATAATATATACATTTAAATCTCTTGTTTGTTGCACTATTGCATTATTTCACTATCGCAATAGGTAAACAATTATTAAACTCGTCACTAGGATTTTTGCGAATTTGTGACATTTATCTTTTTGGATCTCTTTAATCTTGTAATGATTAAGACAAAAAAAACACTTTCATATAAAACTAAAATTACTAAATCACATAAAAATTAATCAAGTGTTGCTGATAAAAAAAAATCAATTGAGTAATCATTCTAATCCGTTTATCCCGGGAAAAATAAACAAACTAGTTTATACATGGAAATTCAATTTCCGTTCCAATATTCCTAAAGTTTAAAATTAACTTACTTTGTAAAAATGTTGCGTAGAAAGATATTGTTTTTTTATTACTATTTGGCGGAACGATGTGACGTACATGCAACCAAATAATACTTTTTTTTAATATATATATATATATATATATATATATATATATATATATATATATATATATATATATATATATATATATATATATATATATATATATATATATATATATTAGATCTTTTTTTATTAAAATGTTTCCATAATAATGCCGTAACTGTTATCATCAGATAAGCTATAATCAGATAACATGATAATAAAAAGAATTAGTGACAGAAAATGGTTTTATAGTATTTCATTGTTGTAAAAAGAGTGCTTAGAAAAATATAGAAGACTTTAGTTGTTTATTATCAAACTATATTGAGTATATAGTGTATATGGGGTGGTTAGTTTTATTAATATTATATATCTTACTTAAAATATAGCATAGAATGGGTGTTTCATCCTTATATTGAGGGTTTTAAATGGAGTGCATTAGTAACTTACAAATCTAGGTTTGCCCTGACAGAGTATGTTAGAACTAATTTAACTTATTAAAAAATTGTTGTTACTTAAAAATGTTAAAATATAAAAATAACTTGACTGTAACTTAATGATCATTTCAAAAATTTTGTTTTCCGTACTTTTGTTAAAATGCAGGAAATGTTTCTTTTATAAAAAAAAAATTAAAAAAAAATATATAGAAACACGGAATTAAGTAGCTATACTGAACTTAGAAACGTAATAGTGTAACCATACTTAGAATGTCAGGCTATTTCTTATAATTTTTTAAGTATAAACTAGAATTTGTTTAGTGCATTGTAACTAAGATTTTTAATGAACCATTATGGACGCAACATCCATAGTTTATGCGGTTAAATAAAAAAAATTGTTTTAAAGTACAGCATATATAGGTAAGGAAAAATAGGATGACAGTTTGTAGAAGAATTATCAATTTGTTTACAATATTGGCTAATTTCCATAACATAGCCAGGGTTTGCCATGAAAAGAATTGCGAATGATAAAATATATTTCTAAAATAATAATAAAATCACCTGCAATATGTTGCATAGCATCAATATTATACGTATTGATACATAATAAAAAATTATTTATTTTGGTGTTCTGACCCAGAAGACACAGTAAGTTTTTTAAACGTTCTTTGGACGTCTTTATTAGGTTTAAACCTAATAAAAACGTACCGTGCCCACTGGGAAGGTCTTTTCTCAGGGCATCGCGGAAGAGGATTTAACCAGGAAGTTCACGTTTCTTATTTTATCAATATATATATATATATATATATAATATATATATATATATATATATATATATATATTGCATGTATAATATATATATATTATATATATATATATATATATATATATATATATATTGCATGTATAATATATATATATATATATATATATATATATATATATATTGCATGTATAATATATATATATATATATATATATATATATATATATATATATATATATATATATATATATATATATATATATTGCATACATTATTTGACTTAAGCCAATTATGTGTATAGTAACGTATCGCACCTTCTAATATCCTGTACAATCCTTTCCGCTTTCTCTATGCTATCTTTCTAACTCGACTACTTCTGTCTTTCACTCTAACATTTGATTGTTTTTCCCAAATTCACTTACTCTTGGACCGTAGAGCGGGTTGTGACGCTCCTTGGGGAGCCGAACTTGTCTTTGCGGGCCTTGGTAATGTGGCCTTTGTATGGCAACTAGCCGGAGGAGGATAAACCACAATACCTATATATATATATATATATATATATATATATATATATATATATATATATATATATATATATATATATATATATATATATATATATATATATATATATATATATATATATTTGTATGTATGTATGTATGTATGTATGTATGTATGTATGTATGTATGTATGTATGTATGTATGTATGTATGTATGTATGTATGTAAGTATGTATGCATGTATGTATGTATGTATGTATATGATAAAAAGCAACATCATGTTCGGTTATTTTATTGTGATATTTCTGCTAATGTAGTATAAGCCATTATCAAACTGAAAAAAATGTTTATAAATATATTATCTACAAGTGTTGAATTTGTTTAATTATATCTATAGTTCAAACGTATACATTACATGTAAATAAAAAATATTGGGGCGTTTTAAGTAACCAGATCACATGATCTCTGCGTTATCATAAAGTTATCAAAAATTGTAGCTCTTACTTATATACTTTTCTTCATTTTTTTTTAATGTAACACTTTAGTATCATTTTGCAACACTTTCGAATAAATGATAAAATAACTAAAATGTCTTGATTATATTTATTAAATTTCCGAAGCAATTTATTTTTGTTTGCAGTTTTCCTAATTTAGTGCATATTGCTTTTTATCCGTGACCTTAAAATTATAATCTTAAAAGCTTACAATCTTGAAAAGTAATTAACTTTGCTTGACTTGACTTGATTAATAAGCAATTTGTATGATTAACGTGATTTCAGCTATTGAACTTTTAGATAATAGGTTATTATTTATTTTGTTTACTATTTTTATATTAACATTTTACACACATTATAGTTTAAGCAATTTTTTATGTGTTTAAACCGTTTGAGTTTAACAACTATTTGAGCGCGGTACTACCAGGGACGTTATATGGATCAAAGTCGGAACACCTCGTTTACGAGGCGAGCGCTCTATCTCTACATCCTTTTCGCGTTATGTTAAATAATCTGATACTAAAGTTAAAATATGTTGAGAAAATACATAATATATCGAATATAATGCAAAAATATTTCGTATAAAGTTTTCGTAAAAATATATAAATATTCAAAATATCCAAATGGCTTTTTTATATGCAAACTCACGTATGTATTTTGTGTGTGTGCTTGCATGTGTATGTGTTAAATTTGTAATCGAGACATAATAACAATAATAACTAAAATATAATAAAAGTAGCACAATCTAATAAAACTCAATAAATGTGTAATTGAGACATATCGAACAATAATCAAAAACCAATAAATAAGTTATTGAGACGTAACGAACATAATGAATGCCTAATAAATATTTAATTAAGACACGACAAATTATATTTAAAGTATATTAATAAATACTTTAGACACCAAAATGTCTTTTAATTAAATTCTTTAATAAAAAAAAAAAAAAAGTTCAGCGTTTGATAAAGACATGAATAAATGAAGAATTGATGTTATATAGCTTTAAATTTTCTATTTTCGCGATGTGTGAATAATTAAAAAAGTAGTTAGTAATATAAACAGGTTATTAGAATAAATTGCGGATGCAGTGGGCTTTTATGCCCACCGCGTCCGTTATAAATTTTTGAAGCTATATTGAGATAATATTTAATAACCCTGCATATTGTTGAATAAACACAAAATGAGTTTGTTTAGCTTTTGTTACAAAAGCAGTTAAATTCCCAACCCCCTTCACCTCAGTAATCATAACTTTAAACAAAAAACCAGTTTTATGCTTAACTCCTCTCTTTTCAATTATTTTTATTTTAGATTAGTTTTATGTTTCAATTACAAGTGATCAGTAAATAAAGTCCAAATACAAATATGATCTAGGATTGTAATGAATATTAAATCATTTTGGACTTTGATGTATTTATACAATGTAATTAATTGGTTGAACCATAGATTCATAAAAATGCTTAATGCGTATAAACGTTAACAACCTTTCAAAAAACCAAATGGTATTTTAAAATACAAAATTTATATACAGTTTTGTTTTTACCTACTTTTTTGTAAAGTTGCTATATGAAAAGCTGTTAAATTAAAATCTTACCTCATTTGCCACCTTGCCCCCTTTTCCCCATACTTGAATGAGATTTACTTATTTTTTCAATTAATACATTTATTATTTTCAGTTCAATTATTTTAAAATAAACCTACAAAAATTAAAAAATATTTATTTTTATTTTATTTTAAGTAATTAAAAATAGTTTTAACTAATTTTAACTTAATATAAGTAAAATGCTTGACGCAGGGAATATTTTTTGATGTAGGTAACTGCTTGATGTAGGGAATATTTACAAAGTTTAATTTACTTTACTTCTTTAAAATTTTTGTTTCAAAACTTTTATTTAAAGTTTTTGTTTTAAAATTTTATTTAAAATTTTTTACTTCTTTAAAATGTTTTTATCTTACGACTAGTGATATTATTTTGTTATAATGTAAGTAATAATTTAATCTTTCTAAAATATAACTTTTTGCAGTGACGTATTATGTTTATCTTAATAAAAATTACTGTGTTTGAATTTAATTGTTAAAAACGAATTGTCATACAGAACTGATTGCTTTTTGCAGAACTTATTGTAATGGACAAGGAAACTAACATTTATTTTTTTTTTAAACTGTTTCCTTGGATACTTTATTAATAATTGCACATTTTCCTTTTTTCTTTATATATTTTATTAATCTACATAAACAAATAAAATGTTTTAGCAATGTAAAGAAGAAGTTTAAGTTCGCCTAAACAAGTCTAACACCGTTTTATTAAAAATTTATCTTAAAAACAATAAATGATGCTTTTACTTCAGAGCCTTTCTATGAATGGAGAGACACTGAAGGCCTTATTGATATTTGCATCATTTTAAACCAATTTAAATAAAATTGTATTTAAATTGCTTTTTAAATTTTCTTGCAAGAAGAAGTTTACAAAAATCAGTTATGTTGTTGAACATCAAAAAAAATCAGTTATGTTGTTGAACATTCAAAAAAAATCAGTTATGTTGTTGAACATCAAAAAAAATCAGTTATGTTGTTGAACATCAAAAAAAAATCAGTTATGTTGTTGAACATTAAAAAAAATCAGTTATGTTGTTGAACATCAAAAAAAATCAGTTATGTTGCTGAACATTCAAAAAAATCAGTTATGTTGTTGAACATCAAAAAAAATCAATTATGTTGCTGAACATTCAAAAAAAATCAGTTATGTTGTTGAACATCAAAAAAAATCAGTTATGCTGTTGAACGTTCAAAAAAAAAAAATGTTTTCTTAAAAGCTAAATAAACTTTTAAATGGTTTTTTTTTGTGCGCTAATAAAAATACTCAAAAAAATTATTGAAAAACATTAAAACAAGACGTTTTGAATATATATTAAAATAAAATAACAATAGAAAATATATTGTTAATTATGACGCTTTATTTAACATTTTAGTATATTATAATTTATTATATTGTTTTGGGCTTTGGTTTTTCACAAACAAATGGATGTAGTTCCCAACATGGAACATTTTCCCATTTAGCACCCCTTTGTAGCATACCACACTGTTTTGTTTGGTCTTTTGTGATTCCTCCGTCTTTCCAATTATGATAGTCAATAAGGGTTCCGTCGCTCCATTTCCATCCTGAGTTATCTCCAACTTTGTTGGGGTCAGTGTTTTCAAGCCCTATCCATGGTGTTTCACATGCGTCAAAGATTCTTGTTAAATCTGCATCTTCTTTGCTGTTATGTATTGATACTAGTTGTCCCTTCATATTTTGACATTGAATCATGGCTTCAAAATAATCTACTTTGGCCGGATTTACATGGTAACATTTCTCCCCTAACACAAACCATCCGTCATCACAAGGGCCTCGAAGCTTATGAAATTCAGTCGTAATGTTTACAAAACCACTTCCAGTTGCTTGCTTTTTGCATACGTAGTAGTTTCTAGCATTCCCACAGTGAATGCTGTTTATCCAGTGACCGTTGACATTATATAAAGATGAACATTCATAGTGATCTCTTAATGGGTGTTGTGGAAGCCAGTTAGCAAAGTTTCTTTGAGAATTATCAAACCATTCCCATCCTAAAATGTTTCGATGTAAATGAATTAAATTAAAGATTTTATTTCTTTAATAAATGTTTAATACAGTTATCATTTATATTCATAAATATTCAGCTTTATCTATTTTATAAAATTTATATATTTAAAAAATCTGAAGTAAAAGGTAAAATAAAAAAAACTCATTTAAATTTTTTTTGTTATTAAATAAAACTAGATGATTTTGTCATAGCTAAAAATTTCAAAGTACATAAAATTATATTTATTATTATGACCAGAGGCGATTTACGGAGGAGGGGTGTCTGTAGGGGTGTTCCACCTCCCCAAAATAGGTGATTTTCAAGTTATAGTCAATTTTTTACGAATTTAGTTATTCGGGTATTCGACACAATTCAGTTAGGTAAATTTTAGTTTAAGGACCTTTTTTTTTAGAAGCCAGTCAATACTTTTTAAGGATTCGCCCCACCCTCCCTCATTTTATTCGTAGAACCGCCTCTGATTATGACTATGTTTTTTTATATTGTTATACTAGTGAAAGTTACTCTATTCAGAGGCTAAAAAATTTTAACCTGCTTGCGACGTTTTTAAGTTGCTATCAATCATCATTAAACCAATCCAAGCATCAGCGCATCTATTTAGAGTGAAGACCATGTGATTTTCTCCTGGATTTTGAATGGAAGCAAGATCGGAATTTCTTTTACGACATTCTCTTGCAGCGTTAAACCAATTACTTCTATGATGAAGCGGACTCTGATGATACAATGAACTCCAATAACAATAACCTTGATAATATTTCCATTCTTCAGAGTCACATGGATCTGTAAAAAATTGATTAAAAAAATTAACAAACTTTTATTGAACTACAAAATATAATTGAAATTTTTTTTTTGTTGTTATATTGTTAAAGAACACAACACATAATTTTTTTTTTTTTTTATATTTATATATTTTTTTGACCAGATTTTAGTTAAGGACACAACAACAATAACTTGAAAATTCTATTATCTTTAACAAATTATCGCTTTCTTTACTTTTATTTTGTATAAATCTTCTAATTTGTTTATCAGCTTTTAGAGTTGAAAACAGAAATAGAAATCTTAAAATTGAATCTAAAATGGTAAGAGAGAATGGGGTATTGGTAAGCAGCTAAGCGGGAATGCGATTTAAAGACACCGGTTAAGCAGCAGTGGCGCAGTGGTAGCGCACTTGCCTCAGAAACAAAGGATCCTTGGTTCAAACCCCACCTCTGGGCAGAATTTGAGACATCGGTTAGGAAGGAGGTATGAACTTCCTATTAAATGCTCATCCGCGGTGCTCTGTGATAAGTCTGTTAGGACTTCTTGGGGCATCTAAAATAAAACAAGTTTTAATCATATTTATTGCTTATCAATTAGTCTAACTATCCAGTCTCAAACCCTAAAAAGTAATTTTTTAAAATCTTATTATAAAAAAAAAATTAATGCAAAGAAAACCCATCGGTATTCGGAATTAGCCTACGTACGTAGGGTAATTCCGAACACACTGTGGAGCAATCACAAACACTTTTGTGTGATAAGAAATAAAATGCTAATTGTAATAGTTAAATGGTTTTATATCCATAGTAACATAACATAACAACAACATAGTAGCTACAACAGGGATGTTACTTAAGAAAAATTTGCATGAAATTATCAGAAAAAGTTAGGATCAAATTATTGTGAAAAACAATCGCAGCTTCGTTACACTATTGCACTTCTGAAACTTAGCATGGTAAAAAGAAATTGTCTAATATATTTTTTTATTATTAATGGCCTCTCGGAAATATATATTTAGGGGAGAGTGGGCCTACTCTCCCCTAAATATATATTTATCTTCTACTTAAGATGCGATCAAAAACATAATTTCAAATATAATTTTTTAGGATCATGCTAAAACATAATATGTAGAAATGGTTTTTTTATATTTAAGATACAATTTTAATAACAGGTTAAAAGTATTAATATATAATAATTTTTAACTTTTTAGTTGTTTTTTATATTAAGGATTTTGGAAAAACGTTTTAAAAAACTTTATCAAAAAAAAGTATTTAAAGAAAAAAAAAAAGGATTAGTTTTCATAACTCTAAAACAAAATTGTTTTTTTGCCGAGAACGTATTAGCAACCAAAAAGCCAGTTAATTTGCGACAAATAAAAAAGATTTTGGTTATTATAGTTGTTGGATTCTATTTACTTGTAAAAAAAATAATCTTTTTACTTTAATTTAATTTTTTTTTTTAAATTTTTATTGATTTTTTTATTTAGTTATTTTTCAATTTTCAATTCTTTATAAACAACAAAATTAATTGAACTTTTATACATTGCATTGGGGCAGTTGATTGTTTTGAAATAAATTACTTCATATTTTAAAAACAACAAAATGTATTTAACAAATATTGATGTTTTCTTGGATAGTGAGGTAACAGAAGAGTTTTAACAAGCTCACAATCCCCAATTTTATATGTAATAGCAGCAGGATAATTTACAAGCATGTATTTTTTTTACAAGCTAAAAGTTACTATATTACAATTTTTTGCTTTCCAAGTATGATATTTTCTATCAAACACGAGTGCTATCTTAGAAATATGGGGTATTTTTAATTAATTAATTATATCTTATAAACCCCAAACTTTTGATTAAAATTATTTTTCTGTTTTGATCTAATTTAATAAAAAAACTTTCTTTTAAAAACTTATCAATAGCTTACCAATCAGTCTTATCAATAGCTTACCAATCACTCTTACCAATAACTTACCAATCACACTTATCAATAGGTTACCAATCACTCTCATCAATAGCTTACCAATCAGTCTTATCAACAGCTTACCAATCATTCTTATCAATAGCTTACCAATCAGTCTTATCAATAGCTTACCAATCACTCTTATCAATAGCTTACCAATCACTCTTATCAATAGCTTATTAATCACTTTTATCAATAGCTTACCAATCACTTTTATCAATAGCTTACCAATCACTTTTATCAATAGCTTACCAATCACTTTTATCAATAGCTTACCAATCAAACTTATCAATAGCTTACCAATCACTCTTATCAATTGCTTACCAACCACTCTTATTAATAGCTTTCCAAATTTTATTTAAATTAGATTAAAGCCCAAATTTATCTCAATAATTTATGTAAATTGTTTAATAACTAGTATAAATACAGAAAAGTTTGAAGTTAAATAATTTATAAACTTTTTTTTTAGTAAAATAAAAGATTAAAAAAAAAAAAAGAATCTGCAAAACCCGAGACTTAACACAGAAAATGAGTGATACAAATGTAGATTCTATTTTTTTTTTATGTTTTTGTTTTAGGTGCCCCAAGAAAACCTATCGGTCTTGTCACAGAGCACCACAGAAGAGCATTTAACTAGGAAGTTAACGCCTTCTTCCTTACCGATGGTGCTGAAATCTGCCCATAGCTCGCTTCAAACCATTGATCTCTTGCTTCTAAACCACTGCGCCACGGCTGCTTATCACACACTAAACATCTCTCTCTATTTAAACTTATCTTTCTCTTACTTAAACTTATCTCGCTAATTTATTTAAACTTTATCTTAAATTTTTTAAAGAAACTGAGGTCCTAATGACAGGTTTTTGTTTGAGAGGTGGGGGGGGGGGGAGGGAGAGGGGATAGCAAACTCATTAGCCACGGTACTGCTAAATATTAAATACCAATAACTAAAATAAATAACGCAAAACAAAAAATATTTCACTTTGGTAGAAATTTACAAACTTTCAATTGTGTTTTATTGCGTGTGTTGTATTTTTGTCAATCGGCTTCTTTCTAATATAAGAAAAATTCCAATTTTTGTATGTTAATAAATCACCGTTTTTTTGGACCGCTAAAGCAAATCCCTCCCCACCCTCTTTAAAAAAAAACACAAAGCCAAAATATTATCAAATTATTAACTAAAATGATTAAACGAAATAAATTTATTGCATATTTAATGAACAACTCAATTACAAAATAATTAAAACGAAAGAAATGTTAAAAAATGATAAAATTATTTAAGTAGATAAATGGTTTCTCTCAACTAATTACAGTAAACAACTACTAAAATTTGTTGCTATACAACTTACATTCTTGGGCAACCGTGCGAGAAATAAAGAAGAATAAAATGCAGTTTGAAACTAAATAAATCACGCTCGAGATCTTAGGCTTCATTTTTCTACTTTTTAATTAAGAGCTTTAAACTTTTTTTCTTTTTTTTATTTTAAACAAGAAAGGTGTTTAAATGTTTTAACATGTGTACAAACAAATAATTAGCTAAGAAAGTTTACGCATGCAGAGTAGGGTGTACTCATATTTGTTTTGAACTAAATTTAATCAAAAATTTCGCCAATATTATTTTAATTGCCAATTTTAATAGAAAAAAAACAACAGGGTATAAAATAAAAATATTGCTAATATTAATACTAATGAAACAAATCATAAAATTTTATATATATATGAAATTAAATTACATATAAATGATTAAATTAATCATTAATCAGATTAATTAAAATTAATTATTAAAAAGTAGTTATTAAAAGTAAAATACAAAAGAGATATGAAAAAACAAAGTTAAACTTTTTTAATTAAAAACTTTGTTTAATCTAAATGTTTAGCGCATAAACTTTTAACGTGTTTTTTATAAAACAATAAAGCAAAAAATTTTTGTTATATACTTTTAATTGAAATAGCACACTGTAAAATGCAACTTTAACGTTACAACACAGGTTGCTCATTCGCATTGCCTTGTGTATATCTCCAACACATTATTAAAACGTTAATATTTAATTTCTTACTGATTATTAACAACAACTAAAAATGATAAAGAAATAATATTTTAGTATTTTAAATTCTCTATCGTTTGATATACCACACAAATTTAATAAATCAATAGTTAATGAGTTATTAAGATTTTTTATTTCAACTATTACACAAAAACTTATTATTTTAACTATTACGCGAAAACTTATTTGTTCATATCTTTAAAAACCATTTCTTGTTATACGATATATTTATAAATATATAAGTTGATTTAAATATAAAAACTTTGGTGTTCCGCACTTCTTGAAATGATTTCATTTTTGGTCTCAAAAATATATATACTTCCGAATGAGCATTTAAGTTTATAAACACTCGGATTTGAGTTTGATGGTAGTTTTGTTTTGTTGTTGCATAATATGTTACTTAATTTGGGAGCTGAAGTAAATATAACCGATGTTTTGTTTTCTAAATTCTCTTCGGAGTTTAGTGCCAATAACAGGTATCCAAAGTAGTTTAACAAACTGTTTATCTAATTGTTTAGATGTAACTCTTCAGTAACTCAAACAATTGAACGGAAAAAATTCAAATTTTTTGGGTTTAAATTACAGAAAAATATTTAGTATTGTTAAAATATTAAATGTTTTACTAGAGTAGAGTGGGGCAAGATAACTCGTGGGGCAAGAAGTCTTTTGTAAGGCTATTATAGAATAGTAATGTTTTATACTTCTATTATACTATTGATAAAGTTAAAATAGTATCATGGAATAAAAAATGTTTTTAATGTTGCTATTAGTTGAGGTTTTATCCGGTGTATAACTTTTTATAGGATTTTCTTAGTAAATTGCTTCTAATTTTAAATCTTTATTGAACAGTCAGTAATTATGCGATTAAGGTAAGAAATTTATTGTTTTACAGAGAATTTATCCAACAATAATATAAAGTAAAAAAAATTTAATACCCGAGCAATAAAGTTAGTTTTACTTGTATTAAATTTATATATACTACACATAAGGCAAAATGTCCTCTGTTTAGTGGGGTAAG